TGCTTGATTCGAGGGTGGTTGGAGGGAAATCACTGTGTAAACTTAAAAAATTTCTGTGGTATTTATGATTTGGGATGGCTTTGTTTTTCCATTTGTATAGTCAATTTAGTTAAAATTGCATCATAGATAAGAAATGTTCTGTTAAGTTTCAGCAGAAGTAGGAAAAGTATACTATTGTTGAACCAATAAATACTGTAATTTTCAATAATTTACTAAAATAACATTTTGTTTCAGGTTTTTAGTAAATAGCAAACTCTCTAAAAGCCTAAAGCCGTAATTCTTACTGAGAATTCATGGTGCATTCTCAATATATTGGAGGCATTAAAGATGTAAACCCAGCCTCGCCCCAAAAATGTATTGAGATACCTAAGGTTAGTCTTGAAGTGAGCAGAGACCTATCTTTTCCATTTAGTCCCAAACCGGTGAAAGACTGGAGGGACCTTGGGAAGCTGGAAAGAGGATGAATTAAGGGGAAAAAACAGTGCAGACATTTTACTTAATGCCTTTTTGTTCCCTGTTGGCTTAGGTAATTTTCATTTGATATTTTTAAAAATGTTGTGAAACAGGCAGAGTAAGAACTGTCCCTGTTTTACAGGTATGAAAACTACCTTAGAATTTAAATAACTTGTCTGCAGCTAATAAGCAGAGGCCACATGATATAAAGTACACACAGATGTTCTAAGTGACCCTCTAACATTAAGATACTCAGTTTATGTACAGGGACAGCTAGAACTCTTCCTTTTAAAAATTACCTACTTAAATAAAATGGTAACTGTAAATTGCCTGGCCTTATGCCTGGTATAGTAGAAATGCCTCTTCCTCCCTGTATCTATGGATTTCAAACTATGCCTCTCTCTCTAGAGCTTCTTACTACCTAGCTGTAGATGTAAATGTTCCACAATCCTTTATGGAAGGCCTACCATATGTCAGAGCTACGCTAGAACCTCCAGAACCTTTAGTCTACTAAAGGAAAAAAGACAAATAGTTAGAAATTTCTACATGGTAGTAAAACACATGCTGTCATAACAGACTCCTTAGCTTACCCTGGAAAGTCACGAAAAATTGTCTCAAGGAAGTGACTCCCAAGATGACCCTTGATAGAATTCACCAATTGAGGCCTCAGTGATTATAGTCTGGTATTAAAGGAAGAATAAACTAAGGGATGCTGAAATGGAAAGTGTCTGTTTATACCCCACAAGAAGGAGCCCTTAAGAAGACTTTATCCTGGTAGGCCTCCTTCCCTCAAAATTTTAAATTTGAAAAACTTTAAACCTATAGACAAGTTGAAAAATTAATATATGAAAATATTTCACCTGGATTTACCACTTAATATTTTATGACACTATTTATATATTAATATATACTTTTCTCTAGCTATTTGAAAATGGCAGATACCATGGCATTTTATCCCTAAATACTATAGCATGTACCTAAGAATATCCATATATAATCATACTTTATTATCACATCCAATAAATTTAACATTGATACCATATTATCTAACAGTTTGTATTCAGATTTCTCTAGTTGCCCCCAAAATTTTCTTTATAGCTTTTTAAATCCAAGAAATAATTATTGACAGTGTGTGTGTTATGAGTCTAGTAACTAACCTGGATTCATTCCCTGCCTTTATTTTTTTATGACATTGACTTTGAAGAATCCAGGTGAATTGTCTTATAAAGGGTTCTACATTTCCAGATTTGTCTGATTGTTTTCTGCTGATTAACTTCATATTAAACTTTTTTGACAGGCTTACCTCATGGGTGATGTGTATCCTATTCATTTTCATTTAATAATATTTTAAGTAATTGTTTTTTTCATTTAGAGGGATGTCAGTATACTTTAGTTATACTATTCTTACTATATTTCTCATTGTGTTCCAAGCTTCGTATTAAATATCGAAGCAATCATAAACTGTTTTAAGACAGGCAGACACATATACACACACATACCCCTGCACTTCCACCTCAGGCTCTTTTTTTCTGACGCACAGTTACATGTGAAACCATTTCTGGACCAATGTGGCTAGGGGAGCAGATACTTCAGGGAAATAAAGATACACTTAAGAGAGTGGCAAAGGAAGGTTTGTAATTGTTGCTTTATCAAGGTTTGAGATAGTTACTTCTTTATTCTATATCCTGTGTTCTTGGAGTTTTCCAGGGACTAAATCATGTCTTGTTAATACAGTTGTCATTATACACGAAGAGTTGCAGTAATTATGTTGCTGTTAACCATAAACGTCTTTCAACCTTACTGGTGGAGCATTGTCTTAGGTGATCCAGAACATCAGCCAATATATAGAATTATCTTAATATATTTAAGGAAAGGTTTCATTTGATCACTGTATTTCTGCCCTAATATGGAATAGTTTTAGAAATACCTGTGATGTCAGATTTCTTTGACCTCTATTGGGTGCTAAAATGGAGGAAATAATCCATTTTGACTTTGTCAAACGCTAGACTCAAAACATCTCTGAAGATACCTTTTTCCCTTCATTTATTAGTCATATCTTTACTCTTACAGGTCTCTAGAGAAAACATTCTGTAGTTTTTTGTTTTTTGTTTTTATATCAGTCTTTATCATTAGATTTTTTTTTCCCCCTGAATAAATTGCTGTAGCTTCCTGGAAATTAGACATTGAGAGAAAATTTTGTTTTCTAGGTGAAGGGTCAGCAAACTACAGCTTATGGGCCAAATCTAGCCTGTTACCTGTCTTTGGAAATAAGTTGTTATTGGAATTCAGTCTTGCCCGTTCATTTAAGTTTTACCTGTGGCAAATTTTTCACTACAAGGGCAGAGTTGTATAATTGTGACAGATTGTATGGCTCACAAAGCCTAAAATATTTTGTTGCCTGGCACTTTACAGAAAAAGTTTGCCAACTCCTGTTCCAGATAGATAAAACATTACACAGGTGGTTCTCCTTTTGAGAAAATTTAATATTCAAGTACCCAACTTTGGTAAACAACCTAGAATTTTTTCTGGTTGCAAAGTATCTTTTACTGTACCATTACAATTTTTTAGTGCACATAGAAAAGTAATAATGAAAACAAATTTCAGAGGTGGGCAATTTGTTGTAGAAGATAAGATTTATTGGTTTATGATTAGTATTTTAGAGCTCTCTCTTTTGTACAGTGTTTTGGGCAGTAAACAATGTTATTTTCTGCTATCAGAAGTTAGGATGGTATTTAGAATAAATTGGTTTTGTAGGTTCATGATCTTGTTTTTATTATATTTCATATATTGTTTACCTTGATCATCATTTTCAGTTTCTTAAAATTACTTCATAATTATGATAATCACTTCAGTTTTTTTATTTACCATATATGCTTCATGCGGTATTTTGGGGGTTTTTTCCTCTATTGAATAATTTACAGAATATTTTGGACATAGGAATTACTGAATTTTTCTTAATTCTCATAATTTTGGGGGGTATAATTATATTCCACAGAGTAGGTTTAAATAGATAATTAATAGGAATTGAATTTTAAAACTGGACAAAATAAATAGGCTTGGATTTTCAAAAGCATGTAATTAAGTTTACTTACATTTATGCTTAAATTGAATTATTTATGGTATTAATAATTTATGTAGGTAGTTTCCTTCCTACGTAAAGTATTGTGCACAAAATTATTCTTTTCCTCACAGTTTACTGTACTGTGAGAATTTTACATACAGGAAGTAGTAAAAATCAGAGCAAGTGTAAGCCAGCTGAGTGTCATGCCTTAGATCGAGGGCTTTCTTATGTTCTTTATAAGTAGAAAGTAGAAAAAATCTGGTTCAATGTTTTCTGGTTAATATGAGTTTTATTGTATGTATCTTGAGAACTGTTCTTTGAAAATCGAATTGCTTTGGAGCATTGCTGAGCTGTCCTTGTAACGCTCTGAAACTAACCAGTTATGTGGCTTACATAGATGAGTCAGACAAAGGAAGCATTAACCTTAACCTTATGGAATGTTTTATTCTAGTGAAGTTAGTGATAAAGTAAATGTTTGTTTGTTTTTGTCTTTTCTTGACTTCCAATGAACCTGGAATTAGCCCAGAAACTTAGGTTTTAAGACTTTACCACTAATTAAGAGTTCCTTAATAAGTCAGCCACCCATCCTCTCCGTTGCACAGTTTCATTATTTATGAAGTGGTTAGAAAAAAAAAATCTCTAATATTGTTTCAATAAATTCTTCAGATAGGAAGAATCTTGCCAGAACTGAAAATTTGCTAAGAAGGAATTTCATCTGACTTTGCCTGCCACTGGTGTATGTGTATAATTGCATGTGCACATACACTTGTTGTCCTCACCTTTACACTCTGCCCCTCTTAGAGCTTCACTAACTCTCAAATCTTTAAGTTCACACCTTTCTGCTAAGCTCTAGTATTTTCCAAATTTAACATGTTTTAAAAGTAGATTTATTTCCTCCTTGATTCTTCTCTGCTCACTTTTATACCCAGACTGGTTACAAAGAAAGAAAGACAGAAAACACAAACACATACACAGAAAGCTTAACTGTTGTTCTATCTTCAGTAGTAGCAGCATCAGCAATCTTGTCAAATAAGCAACAGTTTCAGGGTTGTCTTGAACAGCCTCACCACCAATCAAGTTTGCTGGCTGATCTTCCAAATTGCATTCTCCTCCTTGCCTACAGGCTGCTATCAACAATTTTTTTTTAGGAAGTTATCTTTCTGTTTTTTAAGCTTTACAGTTTGTTATTAGGACAGTCAGGATACTTGCTAAATGTGTACATGTATAAAATGTGATTTTAAGACTTCACAATAAAATATTGAATTACTATAACATTTTGCGAGCATTGTTTACAGAACACTTTATATCTTAATAAAGGGGAGGGAGAACGAAAGCAATAAAAGAAATTGAAAATATATATGCTGCTGTTCATCAGTCAAATTAAGGAACTAAGTACAGGCAATCAAATAGAACAGAATTATAAAAGATGGTAAAGTTGCAAAACATTATAGAGTAGATGCTTACTGCTCCAAGTGTGGATCATGGATCAGCAGCTTCAGCATCACCTTGGAGGTTGTTAGAAATGCAGGACCTCAGGCCCCTGCTGAATCAGAATCTCTGTTTTAACAAGATTCCCAGCTAATTTATATGCACATTACAGTTCAAGAAGCCCTGGCCTCAATACTTGTGACCTAACACTGTTTTAAGTTTGTAGCGTGCTAACGAATTTAATCTACCATTACAACCCCGTAAGGCAAGTACTATTGCTGTTTCCCATTTTATAGTTGAAGAAACCTGTTTGACCAATGTTCCTCAGGTAGTAAGTGACAGAGCTGGAATTTACACCCAGACATTTTGCTTTTGTATTTCTCAGTTGACTGTGCTGTACTCTCTATATAAAGGGCTAAGTGAATATGGACTAAAGCAGCTTACAAATAGGGCTTGGCAAATAAGGAAAGACAGCTTGAAGGTGAGATGAGAAGTGGATGCATGGCCCTAAACTCTATATTACATTTTTTAAATGCATTTACATGTTCATTTGAAGAAATGTATTAATTTATTCATTATTACTGTCTTACTAGATGAATTTGGTGACTGCATCTTTTTTCTAGAATGTCAAAGTGTTACTTACTTCTCTTAACGATGAGTAAATGGTGTCTTTATTACTAAATAGGATTTATTAGAATCAAAGCAAAAGCAACACTGTATTTGAATTGATGCATAGTAAGTGCTCAACTACTTAGATTTTGTCCCTTTTTTTTCTAAATCTGAATGACGCTTGGGTTAATAGCACTTAATGTCAGTGTGTGCACTGATGTTTTTGGTTACTCATTAACCTTTTTCATTTATAAAGCAGACTGAGAAGGAAGGTAAATTGTTGAGCTATCTGTTTAGGGGTGAAAAGACTAGAAAACTTTGAATACTTTATGTATTCTTGGGAAATTTTTCACAGAAGAATCCCAAAGGATTTGTTTTTGTTTTTGATCTATTCCTTCTAGATAACTTTAGTAATTGATTTAAGTTTTAATCTGTTACAGTGAAAAACACTTTATAGACAATGATAGACAAATGGCATATACTCAAATATTTATAGCTGTTTAATGGCATTTTATAGACATTTATTTGGGTTTTGTTCTTATTTTTATTTTTAATGAAGGGAGTAGTTGGGTAGATGTGAGTTCATTGTGGCATTCAGCTTATATTTGCTTGGCTTTTTCATAGTCGGTGACACCCTAATTCCTAGCATGATAAATAGTAACCCTTTGTGCTTGATTTTGTTTAACTTATTTGAATTATTTTCAAAATACATTGTTTTTAATTTTTTTTTAATCAGCTAAGCTTGTGTATGATTAAGTTTTTGTTTTGTTTTTTTGTTTGATTTTGTTCTTTTAGGGAAAAAAATCCTATAAAATGGCTATTAAATTTTTAGCCAATGACAATGAGATTTTCTTAATATTACTTTGAATTCTATACCTCTTAATTCTTAAGAGTATGTGGTTTTGTTGTTCTGTAGTGTCTTACTAAAATATTCATTTTTTTACAGTGTATTGCAAGTTCCACTGCATTACATGCAAATATGATTCACTCATACCTAGCTGTTTGTGGATTCAAACTCATAAATGAAACATTTTTAAGTTGTTAATAGTGTACTGACATCTTTCTGTGTTTTCTGATGTTTACAGATTCGAGTGGTGAATGCATTTCGTAGTTCTTTATATGAAGGATTAGAAAAACCGGAATCAAGAAGTTCGATTCACAACTTTATGACACATCCTGAGTTTAGGATAGAAGATTCAGAGCCTCATATCCCCCTTATTGATGACACTGATGCTGAAGATGATGCTCCTACAAAACGTAACTCCAGTCCTCCACCCTCTCCCAACAAAAATAACAATGCTGTTGACAGTGGAATTCACCTTACAATAGAAATGAACAAGTCTGCTACCTCTTCATCCCCAGGAAGCCCACTACATAGTTTGGAAACATCACTCTGATTGTAAGCTGAATGTTAACACACTAGCTGCATTGTGAAGAAACAAATTGAAACTGGGTCTTTTCACATATTGTGATGGACAAGCTAGTATTCTTGTCTTTGGACTTCAACAGAAGACACACTTGTACGAATGTAGATTTATTTTTTTAAAAAAAAGCAAAGCTTTCTGCCAGACTGAGGGTGCTTTTTGGGGGGTGGGAGAAATGAACTGACAGATAAACAGTAACTCAGCGTAAGCGACCCGTGGATCATCAGTAGTACCCAGGCATGGTCCTGAACAGTGTATTAGCAGAGCTTTAGTTTATCTCAGCCCTGGATGGGAGAGAGGGAGGAGTAAAGCTGGGCAAGACAAAGAGCCCTGGATCATTGAATTGATACTTTAATTTCTGCTGTTGGCTGTTAATAATTTGGATTATTTATGTTTATAAATGATACAGATCTGTTTACAAGGTTTGTAGATACTTTTTTTGTTCCTGTTCATAGATGGGAAGCTTCCTTATAACTGATGCAGAGAAAAATTAGTCCTTCAAATACTGCTGTATTTTCAGGAAAAAAAAAAAGGGGGGGGGGTGTTTCTATTGAAACTGTACTAAATTTTTGCCTACAATTTACCTTGTTAAATATTGTAGATAAATTGCTAATACTAATAGCCAAATAGATAACACTAATGCTTTGTTTAAAAAAAATGAAAAAACAAAACAAAACAAAAAAACCTGAGCAGTGGTGTTCTAATGAAGTTATGACATCTGTCCTAATTAGTTTCTTAAATACATTTACTACTTAATGGTTTTGAAGCAACTGTTTAATTTTTAAAATTTTTGAAAACTTGCTAATAACCTTTTGTTCAGAATTTAGTAGATTGTTTAATGCAGGACATCAACTACACAATGAAAGATGCTTGAAATGCTTTTGTTATTTCAGGCAAATCAAATTAAATCAAACTATCAAACTACAAGAGAACCTTAGTCCTTTTTGTTTTTGTCTAAACATGTTAGTTCAGTGATGTCTTGGTGAACTGTGAGTGAACTGTATTGATTTTTCTAATCTTTAGAGACCTTCACACAGCATGAGGGCTGTTGACATTTTGAAAAAGGTTAATAAGTAGAAGCATACATGTTTTCCTTTTGTTTTTGAAACTTGTTTGTAAACATAAATAAATATGCCCTTTTATTAAATAAATTTATGGCAATGTTTTTTTAAAAGACATTTCAGCTTCTTTTCTCAATTCCGCATATATAGTGCATTAGTCTGTTCTCTTTGACCACAATTGGAATGAATTTCAAGATGGTAACAGCCCCATGAAGTATCGCTTAAATTCCTTGCTGGTAACCTGATAGAATCAGATTAAGAAAATTAACACAATTTTGCCATTTGACAAACTCTTAGTAGAATTTAGTTTGTCTAAACTTGCCTCACAGGTTAAAAAAAAAAAAAAAGTAATAATGATGACCATTGTCTTTGATACGTTTATTTTAATTCTTAAGTGGCCAAATAACAGATTAGATAAAATGAGATTGCATGAAAAAGTTCTAAAATGATATATTTAGATGTAGTAATTAACCATATGTTAGAATGCCCATTTCTAAGCCAATTGGATTCTTTAGCTCTCTTTTTCTTTCCTTTGTCTACCTTCTTCCCTTTTTTGCCTCTGTCTTTACTCTTTAGAAACTGGCATGTGTTAGGGCCCAGATTTCACAAGATATACAATCCTCAGGCTGACATAAAGTTTACGAGGACTACTAGGATAACTGAGAGTGCTGACCCAGCAAAGAAACATTTAGTTGATGGTGCTTGATATTTTTGGTGGGCGGGGGAAATCTCTCCATCAAATCTTTGCAGTAATCCTCTGCAAGTCTTAGAAACACATTGGCTCTGTCAGCATTTGTAATTGTACATTTATTCATCAGGTATTTATAGTGAATCATACTGTAAAAAAAGAGGTAGCATGATATGCTGGAAAGCATATTAGACTAGGAGTCAAGACCTGGTTTCTAGTCTTGGTTTTGCCATTAATGTGCTGCATGATCTTGGGAAAATCATTTACCCTAAATAAGGGTGGCGGACTATCTTGAAGAACCCTTTCAACTCTAATAATTGACCCTATCAACTGGAGAGCCCACAAGGCATAGGGAATAGAGAAAAGGGAAATGTTTTCAGGTTTCTTTTTTATTTTGGTTATGCTTAAATATGAATGTAATTACCAAAAGATTTAGAAGTGCATGTGCTTTGGAGGATTTGTATTGAGCTTTTACAGTATTCATTTTTCAACTCAAGGCAATGGCTTTCTACACCAACTCTAATTCATAAACGGGTCTTACGACATCCATGAAGTAGTAGCAAGACATGCTTAGTGTGTATTTCTCTCTTTGAGACACTATAATTTCTACCAGAAATTTCCAGAGCATTATGTAAGTAGAAAAAAAAAAATGCAAGCAAGCTGTTAAAGATCTTGGATCCCATCATATAGTATGTATAGCTGAAATCTGTAATTCAATCACTTTTTCGCTTTTATCCTCTAACCAAAAAATTGTTTAATTTTGCATCCCAAATGTTTTTAATCTTTGTATATTTTTAAAAAATCCTTTTCTCTTCATCATTGCCTTTTTTGTGGTTGTAAATAGACTTACTTGCACTTTGAAGATGAGTTACTCCTTGTCATCTTACAAATATGTGATATGGTAATTTTCATAACAGATGTCAGTTTTGAACCAAGAATTGGTGATTTGTTTATAAGAAAAAAACTGGCTTCATTTCTGTGAAATTGCTCTTTGAAAATTTTCTTTTTACACGTGTAAGCCAACTGAGATACCATGATGGTGTTGATTTCTTTCAATGATGCTTACCATCTATTTTAGCCACTGAGCCTTTTATTATTTGTCTATTTGTAAAGTTTATTTGTCTTAACTCATTTAATAAATATACTGTTTATCTGTTTCTGAATGGGGAGTGAACTTTTTGAATATTGATACTGATTTGAAAATATTTTAGAATTACTTTTTTCTACTTGAAGTTTAAAAAAATTAATAGAAAATTCTATAATGTACTTGAAATGTTATGGTTGTGTTATAGTGAGTCACTGTTCTAATAATATGCATGATCTTGCCTCTAAAATGAAAAGTGGGTACATTGTCCCTACTCTCCTACCCACTGTCTTCAACCCTTATAGCACAGTAGATCATTTCTGCAGTCTGTGGGAGTGTAATCTGGTTTTAGAACAGATTAGTTTTTCACATTACATGTAAGAGCTTTTTTTTTTTTTTTTTTTTCCCATTAAATTATCCATACTTGTCAATACCAGTTATCTGAATTAACTCTATGGTAAAAATTAATAAAATTACCCTTAGTTGGTTTTTATCATAAACTATTAATATAAATTAGCAACTTTGTTGAAATACTAAGTAAACTTTAAATGACAATGAATACCATATTTTTCAGTTACTGTGAATCATTAGTAAATTATTGAGTATACTTAAGTACCATATTTGTGACATGAAAGATACTTTCCATTTTGTCAAATTGGGTTTTATATATGTATTATGTATTAGAATTGAATTTTGAATTAAGTTATCTTTGTAAAAATTAGCTGAGGAAGAAAGGGGAGTGTCTTTAATCCTTTGCATGTTGACTGTTCTTTCCCCATGCCTTTAAGATTGTGTCTTATTGCAGCTGCCTTCTTTCTTTAACCTGTGCTACTCTAAGACTCTTATGCTCAAACCCCCATCAACTTTTGTCTTTTTTAATTACTCTGTTAACACTCATTTGTAGACCAGAATAAAAGATACTCTTAATGATGTAATTATACCACCTCACTAAAAATCTGAAAAATAATCTTTCTTTTAGAATGTTTTTATACTGTAAAAAAATGTTTAATGTGCTCAGATAAGTTGGTAGTTGTTTCTGTACTTTTCTTATCAGTGTGTGTCACAAAGGAAATTACCAGACCAGGAACTGTGGCTCATGCTTATAATCCCAGCACTGGGGAGGCCAAGGCTGGACAATCATTTGAGGGCAAACTGAGCAACAAAACTAGATCCCCATCTCAATACAAATAAAAATTAAAAATTATCTAGTGGTGGTGCACGTGGGTAGTCCTCGTTACCAGGGTGGCTGAGGTGAGAGGATCTTTTGAACCCAAGAGTTAGAGGCTATAGTGAGCTGTGGTCATACCACTGCACTCTAGCCTGGGCAACAGATAAGACCCTGTCTCAAAGAAAAGAAGTTACCTTTATTCAGGTAGTTTCTTTCTCAGCCGATTGATAGCTTGACCCCTTAAACTCTCCTTTGAGAGTTTGCTTTTATGCTTTACATCAAAGAACTGTTTAACATTTTTCCTACTAAAGTATTTTAGTAGACATGTTTATGTTAGTTCAAGGTGTCATTGTTGAACAATATAGTAATGGTTCCAAAGTAGGGAATCAGTGTTAAGAAAATGTGCATGTGTGCTTATACAGTATCAGTCTCTGGCACAACCTCCTTAACCACCACTACATCCTAGGAAAACAAGTTCCCAAATCAGTAACATACAGTCTGGGTTTGGGTTCAGGGCAGGGAATCCGTGGGATTCTCTTAATTCAGGGTTATAAAGACCACATTTTTTCCAAATCAGTTTTCAGATCATTAGATATAAGCACTGATACGTTCCCTAGTTATTAAAAGGGATATTGTCTCAACATAAATTAGTAATTATAGAGTACTTGATACATACTAAACACTTTACATGGATTATGTAAACAACACGGTAAACATTCTGCCGTTTTACAGCAGGGAAATAGGCTTAGGGAGTTCAGGTAACTTGCTCTAGGTCACATGATTAGGTAGTAGAGCTGGGATTCACACTTGAGGCAGACCATTTCAAGAGGCCAAACCAGTAGCCACTGGTCTTTACTGCAGGACTAGCATCTTGTTAACCTGAATCAAGGCCCAGATTTTTGAACAGTTAAAATGTCTGTTAAACTCTTAAGTATGTCCTTTATTGCACTTTTCTGGTATCAAATGCTTCTGAGAGGATCTTTAAGAATCTTCACAACCTTCCTGGAGGATAGGTCAAAAGACTGAGGCAGAATCACCTATTAAGATGTATATTCCAGGCTTTCCTCATGATCAGACTTCCTCTAGCTGAAGAGTCAAAGATAAACTCGGTAGAATGGTGCTTTTAATAGCATATTTTGAGTAAAGAATTTCATCATTTTGTGCTTTTTTAAGATGGGTACATGATTCAAAGTCTTACAGATAGCCCGTTAATTTAACCTGTTGCTTTGTTTCCTAAATAATTTGGAATGAATAAATATAACATTAGTGAGATACTCTGTATTTTTTGGTTTTGAAACTTGTGAGACTAAAGAATAGGGTGTTTTACTTTCAATTATTTTGTTCTTAAAGAGTATTTTCCTCGATGAAAAATCTTTTTTTTTTTTTAGACAAGCCTTCACTTTGTTACCAGGCTGGAATGCAGTGGCGCAATCTTGGCTCACTGCAATCTCCACCTCCCAGGTTCAAGTGATTCCCCTGCCTTAGCCTCCCGAGTAGCTGGGACTACAGGCACGCACCACCATGCCTGGCTAATTTTTTGTATTTTAGTAGAGACGGGGTTTCACCATGTTGACCAGGATGGTCTCAATCTCCTGACCTCATGAGCTACCATGCCCGGCCATTCAAAATTCTTAATGCTATAATATTTAGCCCTATTGGCACATTGGATTTTAAATGATCCGTTTTTAAAATAAGAAAACTGTAGCCATTTTTAACCTACTGTCTTGATGCCATTTTAATGTTTGCTTTATAAGTGGTTCCCCTTGGTCTGTAAAAATTAGGTGCTGATTTTTATAATCTTAAAGATATCTTTGCTAAGAAAAAGTGTCTTAAAACATTCTCCTGGAGGGAAGGTGGGCAAAGTGGTGAATTGGGAAGGTTTTGGATGTGTTAGATGGACTGGTGGTTGAAGAGACTGAGGGTAGAGATGTAGACACCAGTTAAGACTTTGAATTGTACAGGCCTGAGGTATAGGGGGAATCGACTAGGCTAACAGCAAAAGTGAAGAGAATAGAAAAGAAACAGTACTTGAAAGCATAGACGAAATATAGCAAAGCAGGAAACCTAGTTGATGACATTTCAAGGCATCATCTACTTTTGGATTTGTTGGATATGTGTAGAATAAAAGAACATTTAATTAGGTGATCCCTTAATTGGCTGAATGATTGGATTAAATATCAGTCTGTTAGTGGTTTCAAAGCAGTGTTTGTAGATCTGTCTTGTTCATGTCTTCCAGATTTTCTGTAAAACAGTTGTTTCAATAAGGAAATAGAAGGAAAGCTCGTCACTGTCTTGGGCAGCATTAAGCTGAGAAGGGTTGAGTATAAACTAGATGACAAAATCAGGAGTCAAACTGATATGTGATGAGATGACTAAAACAATAGTTTAATATAGATAAATGTAAAATCCTGCTCTTTGGTACCTAAAGTCAGAAACAAAATGACAAGAGGAGGCAGATGTCTACTAAAGTGTGGAAAAACCATAGGTTTTGTTGACAGTGAGAATGGAAAAAGTGCATTCTAGAGTGCTGAATCCTGACCTTGAGGGACATATGAAGGTTTGGAATAAATGCAATGAGGAATGTTCCTGAAAAGAATAAGAGACAAAGGCTAGTTTGAGCATCAGTGAGGAAAACCAGGACATGAGTATACATTTTGGTCACCAGCAAGACTGAGATGCTGTAAAGCTGAGGACAGGTATGAAGTTGAAGGTGGTTCAGGTTTGGGTACCAAGGTAACATAACCTGAAGAAGGCAAAGCCATCTAGGTCAGTCACAGCAGGAGTGAGGTGGCCAACTGGAGCAGATACCTCAACTAAGCTATGAATGGCTCTTCATTTGCTCCTTAACAACTCTAACCTCACATAGTTGTCACTTGCTTCTCTTTTTCCATTGCTATCAGCACATTATGTGTTCACATGTTCTTCCTGCTCCTGTAAATTCCTCAAGGCCCCTTTTGTACTTAAATCTCTTCACAGTGCTTGCACCACCCTGCCTCTCCTTCCTCGACGCAACAGATATGTAAAAAAAAAAGTGCTGTTTTTTTTCCAAAGGAAAATCACCTCTCCAGGAGAAGGTGTTGAGGCTCAAAGAGTGGATCTCTTGAGGTGTAGGAAGAGGCACACTTTAGAACTAGCAGTTCACCAGAACTGGGTTCTAAATGGTTCCGACTCTTATACCAACTTTTAATATCTTGAGCCCTCAGTTTTCTCAACAGGATATGAGTATTGCAATTTCTGCCCTGCTTTAGAAGTTAAGATGAACTTGAAAGTGTGAAAACACTTTTAACAATTATAAAGCACAGTGCATGGTAAGCCTATTGACTGGGCAACTGAAACAATTCTGTGAAGAACCGTTCTGTCTACCCCAGGATGTTTGGCTTAAATAAAAATTTCCAAAGTTGAAAAAGACCCTCAAGTCCCAACCGAGTCATAAATACCAGGCATTATGATGGCTACCCAGGAAATTCATCTCATTAGAATAATAGTATTTGCATCCATTTCCATTTTTTCTGTTTTTAGTCAATAATAGAATCTTTTTACCTTCTAAAAAGAAGCAGCTTGCTATCTTCTGGGTGGTAAATAAATGAGTGTGCTAGTGATCCAGTCACTCAGTTTTTTATTATTTATCATTTAACTGAACACTAGAGCTGCTCTGATGGTTTGGGACCATTACCCAGCTTTCATTGCTCTTTTGTTCCTCGTCATATCTTCATTCCCATAATGACCCATGGGGTAGATCAGTACTTCCCAAACATTGCTATACATTGGCGTCACTAGGGAGAACTGTAAAACATATTGGTACCAGGCTCCCAGCTCAAGCATTGTGGTCGAGGGTGTGGCTTGAGTGAGCACTGTTGCTTAAAAAATTTCCAATGATTCTAATATGTGGCCACACTTAGGGAACTACTGAG